GCAGCGGCCCGAAAAGAGGGTATGCCGGTAAGACAGTGACCCGAAGGTATGCATGTCGTAGCGGCAAGGGTCCGAAAAGAGGGTATACTGGTAAGGCAGTGACCCGAAAGAATGCAACTCAAGGAGATGATATTGATCATGCAGACAAAAATGTACATGCACATACACAACATGCAAATGAGCAAGTGGTAGGTCGATCCAGATGGAGCATCTGGTCAAACCAAAGTATTGTGCCAACCGGACCGAGGTAGCCGGTTGAAACACAAGTGATGTGACCGGTTTGGGATAACCGATCGAGGCACAAGTGGTGTCGGTGCAGGTGCAAGTGCAAGATATAAGATGCAAGTGCAAGTGCAACGTGCAAGTGCAAGGTGGAAGGTGTAAGGTGCAAGGTGCAAGTGCAAGTGTGATATATGACACACAATATGTAACAATGCAAGACACACATATGCAAACAATGAGGTGCAAATGACCACACATGATAGCGAGTCACGCTTGTACTAACGACGTCACCTAGGAAACCTAAGGTTTAGACCCTTGGAAATGCGGCATCGCCGACTCTTGTTTTACTGAGGAAATGTGGGGAGTTTCTCCCCGGATCTTCGAGGGGGAAACTCTCCACGGCGTTGCGAAATGTGCTAGCTACAAAGCTTTTCACATTTCGCGAACTCCTCCAAATTTTGCAAAGCGAGCCAACTATGAAGCTTCTCTCGCTTTGTCAAGTCCGACCCCCTAACTTCTCCAAGTAAAGCTAGGGAAACCCAAAGCAAGGGGAGTGAGGGACTCCGACCCATCAGGACTTGTGCTAAGACTCACAATAAAAGGGAGACACTCGGCTCTAAGAATGGCGTTTGGTTACGAACAGGAAGTCCTAACCTAAAAGTTAGCTCTAGAAAATCGACGATCCATCACGCAGGCACGTCTTCGCGCCGACCCATGCCGGCGCACGCACTCCGTGTGGTTGATCAAACTCACACGCCTAGACACCACTAAACCTAAGGCTAGCTAGAAGTTTAGGGGATCTCACCACCGCGAAGGTTGCAGACGCGTTTTCTTTATTTGCTTCAAGCCGTCGACGTCCAGTCCGTGCTTCAGTGCATCCCACAATAAATCTTCGCGAGAGAGGATCGCTCGACGACAGTAAAAGAGGAGTTTTCCTCGCAAAGGAAGAGACGCTTGCACCTCCTCGAACAGCGACGCCGCTTGCTGTCCGGCTACGTCGAGGTGCTCCGACGAAGTATCCGGTCGTCGGGAAGATAGGACGGCGAGGTAAAGGAGTTAGCCCGCCGGCAGTGCGCACCGGGAGCGAAAGAAACGCGGAGGAAAACCCAAAATTTGAAGCTCGCCCCACTGATTTTCTCCGGTATAAATTCGACGCCAACGGGGTAAAAATGTGGGCGAGGAAGAGGTCCGACGAATGACCGGATCTTGGCGTCGGAGTTGGAGGAGCCGGCGGATCTGAATGCAGCCAAGAAGATAGAAGAGAAGAAGAAGGAAGAGGGGGGTGCGGCTCCGGTCGTCGGAGGGAGGAGTGTCTAGGCCGGCAGGAGTTACCGGCGAGGACCGACAAAGAGTGCGAGAAAATGGCCGGAGGCGGCCAAAATCTCCATTTGAAATCCCGTCAAAAAAGTGGCCCAAACGACCCCGAATGACGAAACGAACTGCGCCAATGCGTCCGGAACGTCGATTTTAGCCAAGAAGGACGTTCACTTCGCCGCGAGGACGTATACGAGTGAAGAATACACGAAGGATAATTATAATAATAATAATAATAATATTATTATTATTATTATTATAATTATCCTTCGTGTATTCTTCACTCGTATACGTCCTCGCGGCGAAGTGAACGTCCTTCTTGGCTAAAATCGACGTTCCGGACGCATTGGCGCAGTTCGTTTCGTCATTCGGGGTCGTTTGGGCCACTTTTTTGACAATTATGCCCAAAACGATAATTCGCACATTTTTACCCCGCCCGCGAAGCCGTAGCGAAGTAAACATCCCCCGTAAGTGAAATTGACATTCCGGACGCACTCGTGTGGTTCGTTTCATCATTTGGGGCAATCTGAACCACTTCATCAAGCGATCGGGCTAATTCGAGCCAAAATCGTACATGGCGCGATAACTAATTTTCGTCGATCAAAGGTAGACACCTCACACCTATGATATCCAAAAATTGATGCCAACACCAACTATCACCTCATTTCCAGATTATTTTTTACGTTCTCCAAGGTCACACAGTTCAAGAATTGACAATCTTTCTTATAAACAACTTTCTCATTGCAAGTCTTCTATGACAAATTCTTGAGTTGGACGTATGTTGTTTCTTCTTGGCGGCATCCTGATTTTCTTTTGCCCGCTATTTTGACAGGAGGTTGTAGAGGAAAGGGGATGAGAACTCGGATGATTTGTGATTGAAGGCAACTTGCAGAAAGAATGTAGGAAACACCACACGGAAGAACAAGAAGACAGAAAACTGGGACCAAAATCCTTTGATCTGGAATTACTGCACATAACACTGTTAGACTCTGATTCTGGAATTCCTGCACACAGAACTGCAATACTAGAAACAAAACTTGCAGCCATCTAAATCCAGAAAAATGAAAGTCTGGACAGAAATCCAGAGGACTGCAGGGATGCGACCGGACTGCTTCAAGAATGATCAAGAAGTTTGAATTCAGCCAGCTATTGATGGTAGATTTTAGAGAGCAGAAAGAGCCACAAACGAAAGCAGGGACAAAAATCTATCAGCAAATTCTGGGGAATAAACGGGATCAAGAAAACGATCGGCAATCTTCTGTGACTGGCCCCAAAGGGACCCCATGGCTGGACAGCAGTAGCATAGAGAAAGCAAGAAAATACAAAGAACAAAAATCTGCTCTGACAAAATTCAGCAGATCGGTACAGCAGAAATCTGTGCTCTAAAACCAAAATGATATCGGCAAAGTGGGGTTATTGATTTCAATAAGAATTGGGGAAAGAAATGGGAAGAAAAGTGAATAACATAAAGAACAAGATAAAAACCAAACACAAACTGGGTTCCAATCCAAGATATAGCTGCAGAGGCAGGTTTGGATGGACTGAAACCTTCCAAGAGAAAACAAACACAAATCTGAAAACTCTCCACCTAACCCACACAAACCAACCCATGTTTATAAAAGTTAGACTCTCCTAATAATAAGTATGTCATCCTAAAACATAGAAACATAAATATCAAACTAAAATACATATATCTAGGCATATAAATTGAAATAAAACTCTAAATTCGGTGTCATTATGGTTCCATCTCTCTCAAGTTCATTTAGTGTATTCAGGGATAGAAGAAGCATCTGCAATCCACGATGAGAAACCCTCTCCAATGATTTTTTTATTTTTCCTTTTTTTCTGAAGTGGACCCAATCATCCATCTAACTTGCTCGTTGCACAAACCTTTCTCACAATCACTCCTCCCTAAAGCTAGTTGAACTCCTCTGATGATTTCATTGTCAATGTTTCTTGATCACAACATTTGGGAGAACCTCTCGGTCCATGATTTGAGAGGTCGAGAAAAAGGAAAATGTCAAAAACGAACATAACATTTGATATATTATCCAGCACTTAACTGATTGTGTTTGGGTTACGATTACAGCAGCTCATAGGGAGATGATAATAATATTCCTAAAAAGAAGGCTAGCTATAATAGACAAAAGTTAGGCACCTTTGCTTGTTCTACATCTCCAACACTCCGGGAGCATGGACTTGACTTCCACAGACAGCAATTCAGATGCGGTTTGTTTAGCCAGCTTAGCATCCTGATAACGTGTGCCTGTTAGTTCCCAAAGCTTAGGAATATGCCTGCACTTAAAAAGGCAATTTAAAACTGGCCAGAAAATGCTCATGTAAGAAAAATATAAAGAATGCTAAAGGTCGGAAAATTAATGCAATTAACTCAAGCAATACCACACGTATCGAAAGAGTGAGAATACTATTCTCATTCCCATCCTTATGAGCATCAAAATAAACAGAAGGCATAAAAAGTACTTAGGCTTTAATGAAGCGAGCAACCGAAGCCTCCTTTCTTCAGGAATATCTCCAAGTTTTTTCCTGCCATAAAACATGTTAATTTAAGATCAAAACTTAAAAAAGTCATACCCTGATATGCAGCTATCAATGGCATGCAAATCGAGATGATACACATATATCAAGAAAGGCTTTTCTTTCGAAGATTGATGTCAACTACAATATCTTTCAGAATTGACTATATGAAAAATCCTCTAGGCTGTAAGGTATCCCTTTATTGAGGCGGACATCCATTCATTAGGTTTTCCACTGAATGATAGATTATTATTTGGGTAAATTTCAATCAGGCACTCAAATCTTACCTTCATTCATACTTCAGGTCTACAGTTTTCAAAGTCTTTCTGTTTGCCTCCACAACCACCAAGATGCTTTTTAACATATTTTTGTCAACAGAACAATAATACCAACAGCCAATAAGACTATATTACCTACTGAAGGGAGGGCTATTGGTGGTCTACAATACTACATTGCACAGTAACATAAGAAGGGGAGGTTAAGTGAATGTGCCAGTGTGGCTTCTCACCTAGCATGCACGCAGGACTCTGGTATCTTTAGAAATCTTTTAGCACAGCCTACAAGCACTAGGAGAGCTCTCGCAAATGTAAAAGACCTCCTAGTAGTTTGGTCGCATTGATGAGGAATGTAGCAACTTAATAGGACACCCTCTTCGTGCCAAATAAGCTAGGTTATCCCTTGACAATGTTGGGAGCTTCACAAAAGGTAAGTCCCACACACGCAACCATCAAAAACCCTGCTTCAACCATTAATGTCTTTAGTTCTTGGTTAGATTGTGAGGAAGGCCAAAATGAAGGCTGGAAACACTTAAAAGTGGACTAAATGTAAGCTTCCAGGAAAATTTTAGCTGCATTACTCTGCCTGTAGGTATTTCAAACATGCTATGAGATGCAGCGTATGAAGATTATTCTTAGACATTCATAATAATTAAAATTAAATATATAATTTATTGTAAATTTTATTTTATTTATTTGGATTATCTTAATTTTATATTATATGATGGGACTAATGGGTACTATCTGGTCTAATATCAAAATATATGATCAAATCGGTCTAAGCCAGTACCCTTTAAAAGAATGTATTGTAAGATCTCCTTAGTGATGCACTTCTTTTGGCTAAGATTCTCCTTTTCATCCTAAGATTTATAAATTCTATCATATTAACTGGCAAAATCCGGCTTGGGGGCTTGTAATTTCGAAAAAAGAAATGAAGGGTATGATGGTGAAATTAAAATTTTATATTTTTCTTTTCTATCACTAACAATTTACATTCCAAATAAATTGAAAGAGCTATTAAAAAAATATTTTAATTTAAGAAAACAAAAATTTACCTTTTTTTTTGTTGACCTTGCCTTTTGTAAACATTCTCTCATCCATAAGTCAACCTTTATTTAAAACTTTAAATCTGAAAAATGTTAAAACAATATAAAGAGTTATTTAAAATAATCCTCTATGATTGTGTATATCATGGGAGAATTAAACACACACACACACACACACAATCATTTCCCTAAGATCAGATTTGGAATTTAAAAGGTAAGAAATTATTATTCTTTCAGGATATGATGATAAAAAAAACAATTTCAAATTTCATAACTGAGCCAAGCCTGACATGGAATAAGATGGATAATTCTATTAAATAATAGCTGTAGAAGTTTTAGGGAAGTTTAAAAATAGATCGCACATAAATCATAAAAGATCTGAGGTAAAATAAAAATACTAAAAAAATCGTAAAGGAAAATAAATTTGACTTTAGGTAGTGATAAGTAAATGAATAGAGACATGTTAACGTCTAAATTTGGGGTAGAATGATCAATGGAATAGACTCAAGTAAATTTAACAATATGGTTAATTCAAAAGGTGAGGCAACAAAGAAAGGAAAAAATGTAGGTTCTAAAATTTCGGTGGAGATTCTCTGGGCACTTTTATATTTTCTTGCATATAAGATGGAAATGAGCAAGAATTAAAGCAAAAAAATGAGTCAAGAAAAAAAAAGATCCAGAATCCCCTCCTTTGCCTTGCTATATGATATTTTTAAGCACCTTCTCCGAAGAATGTTGCTATGGACCTTATGTGAACTGTTGCTATGTCTTCGTAATAATTTTGCCTTTTCATGAAGAAATGATCTTCCATTCAACACATATACAGATTAGTGAATTCTCATAATATTTTTTCACCTCAAACTTCACCTTCAGGATAATTGATGCTAGAATATCCTTGACGCTAACAATAATATCAGCTGATGCATAGATGAACTGTATCCTTATTGGGTGTCAGAGAAATACTGAATCATCATTAAAAAATAAATAAAAACCCTTATCTTGTTTAGCTTTTGATGCTTCAATTTCAAATCTTCAAACAAGTCTGAGCGAAAAAATATGATCTACATGATGTGATTGATTACCATGAGGCATTTTTATTCATTTGAATATATTTTGCTCGGTGAGCCCGATTAGAAATAAACAATACACTTTCTCTGGGATCCACTCAAAAGTATTTCTTAAGAATCCGCTCAAGAACCCTCCTCAAATAGTCAAATGTATGTTCGGATCTCTTCTTTTGAAGCGAAGGAGTGGAAGTTTCGCAAGTACACTCAACCAATAGGATCTTCTTAGTTTTTTTCTTAATCTATTGGTGTATAGTAGTCTGTTCGTAAATCTTACACACTCGACCCACTATTTAAAATAAGGAGGATGTCTCCCGAGAGCTTCACTCTGATATGTGTGTAGCTTTAACCATTCCTCTGGATGAAAAAAAAAAACTGTTCTTTTGATAATTAACCCTCATTTCACACTTTCTCTGATAAGAATAGCAAAATAAAGATTCAAACTGCTAAAGAGCTATCAATTGTGAGTATGGAAGATTTCATGCAACGTACGTTTGAGCCCATTGTTCTTTAGTAGGCTGTGCTCCTTTAGATGCAATACTCTACGAAAAATCAAGGAAGTTGGAGTGATCCTTTGCCTATAATTAGCATTAAATTGTAGAGGGAAACCATCTCACATTTAATATGTGACCCAATACGATCAAAAGAAACAACAAATAACCTAACATGGAAACAAAGCAAAAAATCACTTCATCACTTGAAGCTCACCAGAGGTAGGCGGCGGGGTTGTATGACTCCGGATCGAGGGGGATGAGCTCCTTGGGAGGATCCACGAAAGTCGCAATGTCCTGCTCGTCAAGGTAAGATCGTCCTCCTCCAGGAAAAATTTCGTAGGGTTTTTCATCCCACGGTGAGTGGCGATTCCCTTCTGCCAGAACGCAAAGATGCTTCCGCCTGCGAGGAAATCCCAGTCGGCTCGATTGAGTAGGAAAGAGGTGGGGATTCCTTGGCTCGCTGAAGCCTAACACTAATCGAAGCCTTTTGGGTTGGATTTGCACGGAAAACGACCAAGTGGCGACGCCTGTCTCCATTTTCCTGCAATGCAATTCGGAGAGGTGGGTGAAGGGTTTACGAAGGGTTTAAGCTGCCCAGACGAGTGATGCGGTTTCTGGTTCGAGTACGGCCGATGCAAATCGGTTTAACGGCTTGTGGATGGCTTGCCCGGATTCACGTTCTTCGAATGGATGTCGGATATAGGATGATTTCATGGGGTTTTTTACATAGCTATAGGTCTTTTAATGTTTGGATTTCATGCTGAATTAGGTTGTTTAGAAAAATTCAATCTATTAATTTAGCTGGTAGTTCCTCTTATGTTTATCAGGGCTCAAATTTAAATAAGTTTTTAAGAGATTAACAATCTTAGAGCTAATTTCATTAAATTCACAGCCCAGCATAACTTACACCTATAATATCAGAAATAAAATCTTTTTCACCTAAAGTTAAATATTTATAACTAAACTACTCAAAATCTTGGGCAATATCAAACAACCACTCTATGTTCAGATCGCTCGCCTCCATTACTCGCCAGTAACTATCTCTCCTGCCCATTCTAGATTCTGTCTCTTTCTGTAGCTACTAATTTCCCTCATTCGTGTTTGAGCTTCATCGCTCCACAAAATGTTTGGTATGGTTTAACTTAAATCCACTTTAATCCATCTATTGTGTTTGGCATTTTATCATTATTTAATTTTTCTTGTGCACTAAATTCATTAAATCCATCTATACGTCATATTTAATAAATTTGGTTATGCGTCAAAATATTAACGAAAGGAGATAATTTTTTTTTAGTAAACTATCGATTTTATTTTACATTTTTTCTCATTTAGATGGATGTGTTAAAAGCGTGATTTTGAATGGATTTGTGTTAAAAGCATGATTTTGAAAACAATGCTGGAAATTGAACTGAAATAGGACGAGGTTCAAGGATCAACGTTGAACCGGGGTTGAATCGGAGGTTGAACCAAGTGACATTATAAATATAAAAAATATTAAATATAACTTAAATAACATAAAAATATCATAATATATGTAGCATAAAAAATATATCATGAAATATAAATCATATGTGAACTCAAACAACTAATTTAAATAACTCTAAAAAAGAAGACCGGTAATCAAGTATTATAATCCAAAAAATATCTCTCAAAAAACACTAAAAAAATAAATCAGTTCAATTGTTGGACTGTTTGTTCCAGCCGGTGCAACGGTTGATCGGTTCAACTGTTGGACTGTTGTTTCTAGCTAGTGCAACGTTTGGAATGTCGGTTCTAGCTGATTCATTCAGTTTTAATGCGGGAGTGGTTTTTATGCCACAAAGAACCAGACCTTCGGCTTATTCACAGTTGAACTGGTCAAACTAGCCGACTCGGTCTAGTTTTCAAAACTTCAGTTAAAATCACATGTAAATCATGTTTGTTTTATGCTACCAAGGACCCACTTAAGGTGATATTTGGTTGCATGTTGGTCTTGCGTTTAATGGGATTTAACGAATCCAATAAATTCAGATTTATTAAATTATGTGCAACAAAGATAAAACTTGTGAGTGACTAGTAAACGAATCCTTTAAATTTGTCTCACAATCGAATTTAATAAATTTGAATTTACATCATGAAAGAGATAGAATGTGAGGAACTGAGATGGAACGCAATAAATTTTGATTAAATGAAGCGTTAGATTTTTTTTTTTTCTTTGTTTTGTTGGATTTACCTTAAATTCATGCCTAAATCCTATTTGAGCTATGATACCAAACATCTCATAAGGCGAAAGAATGAGTGGTTATTGTGGGATGGAATAAGCAACGTGAAGCACAGAGGTTGTTGTGGGTTGGAATAAGCAATGTGAAGTTGTTAAGTAGAGCTTGTGCATGCAGACATAAGATAATGTTTGATAGCATAATTTAAATAGGATTTAGCCATGAATTTAGATTAAATCCAGGCAAATACCAAAAAAAATGAAAAAAAAAATCAAATCCATGCTAAATCGTTTTTTTTTTCATGTTTTCTTCATGTGTTTGGTCACTTGACGTAAATCTGGATTTACTAAATCTGATTAAGAGGTAAAGTTAAGAATTTATTTCACTGTCACTCGCAAGCTCATCTATGTAGCTCAGATTATCAAATTTATTTGATTTGATAAATCCTATGTAGCATAAGTTCAGGTTGTAGCCAAACACAACCTAAGCGCAGTGAACCGGGTTGAGAAAGTGGTGGGAAGGAAAAGCACGAGGGTTTTGCACAATACAAACTATAGTAGAGAGAATATAGAATTGCTCGATGAGTTGTCTCGAATTGGAAATTTATTTGGGCGTTTGTTATCAGCAGGACTTATGCATGATTTAATTGTTAAGTTGGAGCCAGATCCACGCCTCCTTCTCTCGCTCCCAACTCCCGCTTCCGCCAGCAATTCGTGAACAGCTATGTCGCGAAGCGAATTCGCTTTGGCCAGCTCCTTTTTCGCGAAAAGTCGCGACTCCTCCCGCTCCCGTTCGATCGTGGAACTGTTCCCGCCTACGCCCGTTCCCGATTCCTATTCGTGATAAAAGCTTCAGATGACTCTCCTTGGGTTAAGAAGTCACGATAGACCTTTTTGGTATTCTTCTTCGGTTTCCTCGGGATAGAGGAAGGTTTCCATGGGGCAGTGGAAGAGAAGTGCAAGTAGGAGCAGTTACTTGCAGTAAAGGAAGAAGAAGAAAGAAGAAAAAGATTTTTCTCCCTAGACTCATTCTTGGTGGCTTGTGGCAGAAGAGAAATTGAGTTTATTTCTCTTTTACGTGTTTCTTTTTCGGTGTATCTCGATGTAGAGTTTCTTCGGTGTATCTCAGTATAGAGAGAGAATAACAGAGAGAGCAACGAAGTGAGAGCGAAAGATTCCTCCTATAAGTCAAGGCCATCGACTGGTGTAAATTTCTCAAGTGGTAAAATCCTCAGCAGCTCCGTAAACGTAGGCAATTTGTCGAATCACGTAAATCTGTGTGTTCCGTTGTGTTACTGTTTCCTAGTGTGAATTTTTCTCATCATATTTTTTCGTTTCGTCGATCGTTCTCTTGTTTGATTTATAGATATACCGCATCAACTGCTGGTATCTATGGATCTCGCAACAATATAAATTAAATCTACACTTCACTAAATATAATTATCCTTTTTTTTTTTACTTTTTTTGTGTAAATTTTAATTTATTGAATCCAATTTATTATGCAGATTTGACATATTTAGCTTGGGAAGAAAGTCAAAGTAGTAGATTTCGGTAAAACATGATAAGCAAATCTAATTGATTTAAACTTAAATTGAACCCAACACTATTCTAAATTTATAATAATTGGATTTAATAAATTCAGATTTACCGATATAAAAAACTGTGTGCCACCAATAATGAATTCATGTAATGCAATAAGCTCCAGCCACATGGCCATATGTGTTTTAAGACACTTCTAATTAAGGATGAGCAAAGTGATAGTGCAGCATTGGACACAAACAGGCCTCTTACATTGCTTTGACACATGTCACACACCCTCAAGAAGTGTTTTATTAAATAATTATTACAAAAAGTACACGCATGTCATAAATTAATAAATTAAAATTTTCTAAAAATATTGTTAGAGATGTATGTTTTTAGTATTAAATTTTTTTAAAACAATCATTCTATTTTTGTATTCAAAAGTAAGACTTATCTCGATATAATATAAGGTAATTAGTATCTATTTTTTATTTATCATAAACAAGATGATATTTTTGGATCCCTTAATTTTTAAAATTTAATTTTATTAAATTTCTTATTATCTCGTCTTTATTATTCTTAAAGTCCTTGTTAATATGATTTATATTAGTAAGATTTACATGCTAACCACCTAATTCTAATGTATTTACATACATAACAGCTAAATTTGAATTTCCACATATATCCAACATTTACTATGAATGAAAATGTGTATCCCACTTTTTAGAAGTTTAAACATTAGTATTTTCAATGTCATATGAAAGATTTGGGTAGTATAGGCAAAAAAAAGCGAAGATTAGTTGTTAGATATGTACATATGTAAGAATTTGGTGGTTTGCATGTATATGTATAATTATATTATAATGCCTTTTTTGATGCATATATGTGTTCTATGTTTATAAAAATAGACGTGTCACATATTTGTGTTGTATCGTATATGTATCCCAATGTTCATATTTGTGCATTAAAATTTTTGTAGTTGATTAAGCTTCCATTTGAAAGGAATTGATGATTGATGTTGTGAACTTTAATGTAATAAGGCTTGGGGAAAAAAATTGCGTGCGTCAAGCGTACGCAGGAGTTACGTAAGTAAAAGGGTACACGGGGGTTACACGGGGTTTATAAGGGATTATAACCCCGTTGTACCTCCAGTGTAACTCCCGTGTAACCCCGCTGTAATCTTGTAACCTCAATGAATAAAATAAAAGCACGGGTTACAGGTGAGTTACATGAAAGTTACAAGGAAGTTATAAGTTATAACACGTCCATATAACGCCCGTGTACCCTATTACGTACACATCTCTGCGTACGATTGACGTACGCAATTTTTTTTTCAGGGCTTGGAGGAGGATTATTAATGCACATGTAGCATTGGAGTTAGTCCAATACCAAATAGATGAAAATTATGTTGATATAGAAAACAAAATTATTGATATTGTTTTTTGTATACTTGAGTTTTTATAATGAATTCGTATTTTATCGATAATGTATGAGGTCTAACTTAAATCTCGCTTTTATTTTCACCCCCTAACATTATGAATTTATAATCTTGATGTTCTAAAAGTTGGATGACTTTTGATGTCTTATGTTTATACACATCTCTTAGCATTGGGTGGTACATAGCAATGATACACCTCAAACAAATCTCCATTATCCAAAACGAAACGTGAGACATGACATAGATCTCGAGATAACTTTTTGAGTAAAAAATATTCAAACTTCGACGAAAAGTCTTCATGAACTCCAATTTCAACAAATGTACTGTCAAAATTATCGGCTCGACAAGAAGAACCTTAGTGTTACCAAAATTGGTGCAATTCGAACCATATCAAGCCGAAATCAAGCCATTAAATCACCACCGACAACCACCACCATCACCACCGACCACCATCGATCGTTGTTGACCACCGCCGACCATCGTCAACCACCACCGACTGTCATCGAACACTTCTGCCGCCGTTGACCACCGCCGACCGTCGTAGGCCATCACCGATCGCCGTCGGTCACCACCAATCTCTATTGACCACCGTCGATCACCGTTAACCGCCGTCGACCACCACCGACTGGACGCTGCTAAACGCTATCGATCGCCACTAGTCGACATTGTACCTAGTAATCATTTCCCGCCAGTGAGACAAGTAGTTATAGTTGTAATTATCTTTTTATATTGAAACTTTTTTGTTGGGTCAGACTCGTGGTTTCCCTATTTTCCGGGTTTTCCATGTAAAAACTTCTGATATTATTATTAGTTACTTTTTATTTTACGAGCGTGTGTTAAATCTTAGCACCACGCTAAGATGATAATCAACAACTCTACTGTTACAAATTTTCTAGCACTCATTGAGTAAGAAAAAAAAAGAACACTCATATGACCTTGATAATTTAGTCTAGAATGATAATTTAGTCTAGAATGTTGGCTCTTCTAAATTTACTCACATGATATCTATATTATTTTATTCGCATGCATATATATTTTTTTATTCATTTCAAGATTATTGACATTCCTTGACTGTCTTTGAGTTTAAAAGAGAAAAACAGTGAAAATTACTATAGCCACCAATAAAAAAGAACTAAAAATTGTTTAAATGAGGATGCAATGGAAAAGTAGAGATGAGATGAATAAAATGATTAAAAAATAGTAGTTTTTTTAAAATGATTGTCTTTTCTTTTATAATTTGCACCTTTGATACAATTAATGTAATGGGAATAATAGCAATGTTGAGACATTATGGAAGATTGATAAATAACTGAATGGATATTATAAAGAGTTCTTAACATGGGGTATAGATGTTTCTATTATTGAGTTTTAGTTAAGAATAAATCCTAGAGGGTTCAAATGAATTTTATACTAGTTTTTATTGTATAATAATATTTTTTTATGACAATATGAGGTGCCTAGTGCTATAAGTCAAGTGTCACATTATTATTTATGATTTGTATCGAGGTAGCATGTGAATGGAAAATGACATATGCGTTTGATTGGTGTAATATCGCGGTGATAATTTTTTTCAAGCACAAGATTTAATCATGATAAACTATTTAGAAAGTAGTATCCGACAGATGAGAAGTTTAGGAGAAAATTAGTTCATTATCAATAAGTTAATCAACTATTCTAAATAAATATGGGCTATTTGAGCAAACCAACTTATGAGAACTAGCAGTACTCAATACTTATTATTTGTATTGTTATGTATATGATGATGCATATGGATGCTTTATATGAGTCGTAGAGCTTATGATGAATTTTTCAACTCATGTTAGAAGTCTATAAATATTAACGAATTAAAAAAAAAACATGGATACTGATCTCTCTCGTGTCTCAACACTTGTAAGGTTCATAAAGCCGTGTCTATTTTATTTCTTCAAAAAAAAAAATAAATAAATAAATAAAGGAAAAGAAAAAAACTAACTCCTTGAACATCACGTAAGGTCTTTATTATGATAGGTCAAAAGCCAGTTGGGTAGGTAACAACATTATCAATGACAAACATTAGAAGAACTATAAGGTAAATGATTGCTAAGGATGTTGTGAGAGTAATTAAAGGTTTATGCACTTATTGTAACACCAAGAATAATAAAGATTCAATATCCACAAATTTAGAGAGGAGAGACTTAGGAATTCCATATATTGATCTTGCTCAAGTGGAATAGGTTAGAGTTGTTAGTATAATAAGTCTAATTAAGGTTATAATTGGAACCATGTCTCATTCTTATAAAAAAGATGATGACCATATCATTTTTTAATCAAGCTATTTTGTGCTGAAGACAAGGATGGTGAAGGTTATATTGACTCATTATTGACCTTACTTTTAGTGATGGAAGAAAAATCAACCAAATCCTCAACCCACACTCATAAACATAAGATTAACTTTTAGTGAGTCCTAACTGGTCGCCTTTTGCCTTATTGATTTTACACCCTGAATTAATCTCAGATCTTCCTTTAATTTCAAACGAGTTTAAATCAAACTCTAACTGGAGCAATGTAATTAGCAGGACAAGTGTAAGTTTTTTTTAGAACAAAGGAATTCCAAATCCAATCTAAGCCCATTTATGTTTCAATCAATCCTTAAATATTCTTGAAGACCCTTAAACCTAATAGATTTGAAATCAAATCAAGTGGCCTAAAAATTCCATAGTGATGCTATACACCCATTCATGGATTCTCCTACTAGTTAGGCGGGCTCAACCCTATTTGTCTGGTCAATTAAATTTTACTTATGGGACCCACAAAAGTCAACTTTTTTGTTTTCTCAAAATTTTAACTTATAAAAATTTGACATATTAAAATATTATTAAGAACCAATCTTGATACAAATTGAGGCCCCAAGCTCGTCATAAATTAAGTTTAATCAAGTGACCCATTAGAGAATCTTTCAATCAAATCTCACACAAGCTGCTTTAAATATCTCATTTTGGCTTGAAATAAAGCCAATGATCTTACATAAAGTTATAATAAATCAAAGATCACTTAAGAGATTGTTCAAACACTTTGACCGAAAAACACATCAAGGGTCATTAAGGTTGAGACGAGTTAAGTTCAAAAAATTCTCTAAGAAGTAAGGTCTAATTGGTTCTAAAGTGTACTTGAAACATAATAAACCACACTTAATATTCTCAATTCAAATTTACAAGTCTTTTAAACTAATTTAAGCCTTTGGAACAATTTGAACCAATGAGATTCAAATCTTATTAAAACCTAATTTAAATTTAATCAAATTAGAGTAAGCACCTCCTTAGGTCATTCCTTGGTCAATCAAATAAAATCCTCTTCAATTATACTTAATTGAATATGATGACACCACTTGTTTATGAACCTAATTTGAAATAAATAAAACCCAAATTCATATCAAACCCACCAAACTCTTTTTTTGATATAAACATAATTAGCTAGATCCAACTACCACCATTATACCGTCAATCGAGTAACATTGGGTTTTGACCCAATATCGATGTAATTTGTGCCCTAAATGAACACAACAAGTAATTTTTGCTCAAACATCACCCAATACCAACCAAATTCAAAGTAAAATTAAGCACCCAGTGGCAAACCTAGACCCTAGTTACAAACCAAGACCCAACTTAGCTAGATGGGCAAGCATTAGGAGCAACTAAGTGCATCAATAAAGCCAACCCTTGCCTTATTATGGAATTACACCCTTTTATTAGCATAGTTTCAAAATTCACGGGCCCCTTGGATTGAGCATGGGTATGCCCATGATTGGGTCCTTGGTCACTTTCCTTGTGCATCCAATTCCTCCGACCACTCAAGGGTAGCCTTGATGGATCCAACCCATACATTGCCACACATTAGAGGGTATGACCGTCCTTCCTTAACTTGCTCGAGCCATCAAAGCGAAAAGAGGCTAGGTCTTTCGTAAACCAAAAGCAGGCACCCTCATTCAAATCAACTAAATCAATTCACTTAGCTCCCCCTTCATCAAAGAGCCTCCTAGTCCCACCAAAGGCCAAGCTACAAAGAAATCAGTTCATACTTGATTGAGCCATCGAATCATTCAACCCTAAGTATCGTAGTTTCTTTATTTTTAGTTAAAACGAGCTGAACATAACCAAACAAAAACATATGTTCGTGTTTGACCTGCTTGCTTAAAAAAACAATTCGAACACAAGTTATATAACGTGTTGAAGACGAGCTGTTCGCGAACACCAAATTTTTAGGACAACCCTAATTGAAACACATTGTCTTACAAAGACATATTAGTTTTAGGGTGTCTATTGAATTCACTAGATTAATATATTTCAAATCTTAACGCTATTTCATGTAGATTTTAATTTAATGAGTTTTATATCCCTCTTAATATTAAATAATGTTGTGGCAATCACACACACACACACACGCGCACACACACACGCGCACACACACACACACCAGCTAATAGCAGTCCAGGTGAAGATATTTGTCGTTAATTTAAATTTCACAAATTATTAATTTTATGTAGCAAGACTAAAATATCTCGTACGTCCAAAAAAGTTGTTTGCACTTATTATTTTATTGGCGCAGGTAATGATCAGTACGACGAATATGCTTACCTGGTTGCCCTACTTCCAGTCACACATCATCACTCATCAGCTCGCAATGAAACCCAAAAATCATCCCCATGGAGCAGGTGTTTCGTAAACCCTACAAATGCTCATAGAAGGAGGCGAAACGCTGATCAGATTTTTAAGCGAATCGGCTTCACAGATACTTGAGATATCCTACCTCAAAAATTTCTCTTCGCCAGCTAGGGCTGGGCGCTGATGATGGCCGAAAAAGTCGATGAGCTGTTTATGGAGGAAGGCATTGATGGCGGCGATGGTGATGGCGGCGGGGACAGCAACGGTGGTGATAGTGGAAGTGAGGTTGAAGAGCGTGGGGAGCCTTCGTCCTCTTTCCGTTCTTACCAGTGGCCCCAAAGCTACAGGTATATTTTTTTCTTCGGGGTGTTGGATTGATTAAAGTGACAGGAACTCGCGCGGGTGCTGGGGGGCTGATGTATGGAGGACTATGGGAGGGGCAACGTGGCCTTTGTCTCTCCCGAGAAAAAACACGTTTAGTTATTCAATTATTATAGTGAAATTTTATTTTAAAATGCTGCTGCAATTATGCATTTTATAGAAGTTTTGCCTCTTTGAATTCGATGTATTTTTTTTTTCTCTCATTTGAATTTCTAGTTTTGTCACTATCAACTGTTGGTGGCTTATGGTTGGGATGTTGTTTGCAATTGATTTGTCCTGCCAGTGATTTGATTTTTTCAACGCAAGAGAAGAATTAGGATCATGACTGCTTGTTGGGATTATTTTTGTTTGTTTTTATCGTTAATGATTATTTTAGGAATATTTTCACACCCTAGGTTTACAAGATGGTTCACACCGGCAACATGGGAAGTTTTGAAAGCATATAGATCTATTATGTGCTCTTAAAATAAATTTTATTTACAAATAATAAGAGTAAACAAGAGAAAAATAATTTTATTTTTCTTTAAAAATAAGAGTCAATTGCTAATATAAGTGAAGAAATAAAATAAAATTAAACGAGAAAAATTAAAATAACAAATAAATAAGCAAATCACCTAAACTCAAAGGAAATATAATACAAATTAGTATAATAATTTAAAATATCGAAACAAAGACTAATGCTAAAAAATCTACCCGTCATGAGGGTCTATCAAACTTATATGTAGAACCTATCATATTAAACATTATCATGTGTGTATTTGACGAATAAAGCCCATAACTACTATCCAGTAAAGCATAAAGAACATAACATTGCTACTGTTGAGTCCCAGATGCGAAAAGTGAATGATTCCATTTGCTAGTCGGCAACCGACATAAAATTTATCGAAAAATCATGACATAAATCCATTAAATCATTGTGTAAATACTAGGGCATCTCTTGGAAAGAATGTACTGTATGACCTGAATATAGTGAAAGGTGCGAAAGAATCGCTATAAAGGCGCCCCGGTGTAGTGTCAAATAAGTAAGAGTTTCACATTACGGACGAATGCGAGTAAAGAAATTAGTGTATGAAATTAATATTAGGATATGATATTGAAATATAGGTACATTTACAGGTAAATTAATAAAATTAATTGATATTATAATTCATAAGATGATAAATGTCTAATGTATTTAGAAACTAAATGAGTTAGAGAAAATACTAAGGAGATCGATAGTTTAGGTTAAATTTTGATATTCAGCTATAAGTCACATTAGAAATGGTGTATGTATAATTATAGATAAGAGTTTGAAAGATAATATTGTTAAAATTAATAGAATTGAGATGAAATTATAACCCTAAAATTATTGTTGATATTAAGATTTTTAATGTTATAAGTGCTTATGTTTCTCAAATAGGTTTAGAAGAATTATTTTGGAATAACCTAGAAGAATTAATACAAATAATAACTCTTGAAGAAATAATTTTTATTAGAGGAGATTTAAAATGACATGTTGATAGAGTGATTGAAGATTTTAAAATATTCATTATTGCTACAATTTTAGAGTGTTTAATGAAGAAGGTAGAATCATATTAGATTTTGTTACAACAGATGATTTGTTCATAATAATTTATTTAAGAAAAGAAATGTATTTATTATTACTTATAAGAATGAATATAATAAAACACAAGTTGATTATTTTCTTACGAGAAAAAAAGATCGTCGAGAGTGTAAATATTGTAAGGTCATTCAAAGTAAAAATTTAAGTACCCAATATCGATTATTTATCTGAATTTTAAGAGTAAGTCTTGTAAGATAAAAAATACAAGGAATCATTGTCACATAGTTAGATAATGATATCTTAAAGACGAATAAAATTATTTTTATGAGTAAACTTCAAGATTTTAATATTTGAGATGTTCATTAAGAAGCTAATTTTATGCGGGATAAAGTAGCAAACACTATTAATTAAGCGACAAAATATGTGCTTAGAGAACCAAAAGGGAAATTTTTTATAAATAAAAGGTGTTAAAGTTTTAGATATCTCAGGTATATTGTTCAAAGTCATGGTGATATAGATGGAGATGTTATTAATAAAATTCAATTTGGTTGGTTGAAGTGGAGGAATGTATCGGAACTATTGTGTGATAGAAATCTACCACTTAGCTAAAAAAAAGTTCTATAAGATGGTGGCGAAACTGGCAAAACCCTATGGCGCAGAATGTTGGTTTTTAAAAGAGAAGCATAAATCAAAGTTAAGTGTTACTGAGATGAGAATGCCTAGGTGGGTGAGCGGCTTTACGCTTAGAGACAAAATGCGAAATGAATATTTCCGTGATAGGGTTGGTGTAGCTCCAGTGTCGGACAAAATTAGAGAGAGTCATCTTAGATAGTTTGGTCACATTAAACATCGATCATCTGATGATCCAGTTATGAGAATAGGTGTTTTAGATTCAACTTATGTTAAGAAAAACAGTGGTAGACCTAACAAGATTTGGGTATATTGTATAAAAATGATTTTAATCTATTAGAATTAAATGAAAATGTGACACTCAATAAGACGCAATGAAGAAAAAGATTCATGTAGCCGACACCACTTACCGAGATAAAGGCTTGTTATTGCTGTAGTAAAGCATAAAGAATAAGATATGATGTGTACAACACGAACAACCAAAATGATAATCTATCATATACATAAGAACATGATAATCAGTGTCATCTAATAATCAGAATTATAATTGAATTGCAATAGCAAAAGAGTACTATATATTCAAACAAACTGGAGTATAGTCGTGCTTATGATCATAAATATGAGTGATTGTAAAAATATACTTCCATGCTAATATCCATATGTTATATTATTATCTATATTCATATATAACAATTTATGACTCGATTATTTATTTACACTTGATAATATGTGAAATTGCAAATGTATATATATAATGCACTAAATCTATGAAAATCTAATGATTTTTTTTGAGAATTTGTTAGTCAGACTAGCCATTAATGAAGAAATTAATACTGATATAAATATTATTATTATAGCATGCATATTCTAGACATCACTAACAAATAATTATTAGAGTTATTATTACCATTGTGATCAAAATGATATATTAAATATGAATTACATAAAATAAATCTAAAATAGAGATAAGGTGCATGGATAATAAATACTGAAATTGCACAATTCAACTCAACGTACAAAAATATATACAACAATAAATTAGGTAAACATTCATATAATATACCTTATTATGAACAATAAAAGAATTATACGACATATTTGTAGGATTATAAACGAAGCACAAGAGATAGGGCTGACAAAATTATAAAATAACTAAAAATTTAATACAATAAAAATGTCCGTAATAGTGAATGATATGCTTATCTATTAACAAATAACAATTACTTACATTTAGATGAGTCATATGAGATTTAATCTACTTGAGATTAACCCCGTATGGCGAAATTTTGTTTGAAAGTCATACAACTAATATACTAGTTAGAATCTAAAACCAAAACAAATATTAACCAATGATAGAATTACGCCTAACCTACTCAAACTTGTTCATGTTAAGTTTTAGGTGGATGTCAAGAATTTTATCTAAACGTAGAATAATCTAAGTTTAAAGTTAATTAAACGTATAACAATAGTAACTCACTAAAATCTAATGTTTTCTCTAAAAAATAATTAACATAATAGTTGAGTTATTCTAAATTTATAGAGATTACTTCTTTCATCATGTCGAGCCTATAGCTGAAACCATAGAGTCACAAGGGTAATGAATGAGATGAAAATGAAAAGGGGAAATATAAAGATAAGATAAGGAGAAGGCAACGACTTATCATTTTTATTTAATCGAAGGATAGGAGAAAATGAAAGGGGGCTGTCGGCGAGGTAGGAGGAAGTTTGAAAGTTGTTATCTGTTGTCCACTTGGTTGAATGAGAATAAAACAAGAGGGGTACATGATTACTGTAGGTCGAAGGAGGAAGGAAGCAAGGTGCATCGGAGGTTTGGTCATTGAAATGACCGACTACTTTTGGTTGAAGGAAAAGTAGGAGAAGGATAACGGAGGGATTTGGCAATTGTGAAAGGGAGGCCTTTAGAGAGGTGTAGAAAGTTGTTGGAGGAGATAAGTGAGATAAATGCGATGCCCTACCTCTATCTTTCTTCTTATAACTCGAGTCTAGGCAGTGGACGAGCATGGGAGATCATGTGATATGCTCGATTGAGAAGGGTGCAGGTGAGGTCAAAAGATTTTGTTGAAGGGAGAGGCGAGGTCGCTCGTGCATGATTGATATGAGTAGATCACTTCGATTTATTACAAGCGTTTCTTGCCATAAATCTTCTTATATTAAAGGAGCTATTTAATGAACTCATGATTAATTCTGAATATTTTTATGAACAAATACGGAAAAAAATATAAAAAAATGACTTTGCAAGAAAAATAACTTGGACGTTCTTAGCAATTTTTTTAAGCCATGAATGGATTAATCTTACCCTATCTTCATGATGGGGTATTTTTATGTGACTATTAAGGGTTTATTTTATCATTTTAGGAATTATGGCAACTTTGAAGGCATATATGAAGCCATATTATTATCGAGAAGTGAGTTGAATATACACCAGTTAGTTACAGGTGATTTGATTGTATAATTTATCTTAATGCAAGGATCAAATCTTGTAGTTTTTGAGAATTGTATTGAGTATTTGTTTCCCCTCAACAAGATCACTGTTATGGCTAATGCATCAATGATAGGTACTTCATGAAATTTTATTGGCTTCTAAATGCTTAGCGTGCTTGCTTGCCAGGGGTGGGGGGGGGGGAACAAAGTTAGATTTTAATGATAGATTGAGGTATGCATTATATAGATATTTTAGCCATTTTTATGAGAAACTGACCACAATTTTATTTTATGCTGGGACACAATCCCCATAATTAATATTTGATGTGAAGCATTGGCTGTTTTTGGTTA